AAGAATTGACTGTAATCTCTGGGCGTCACTTTCTTATTCACAAGATGAATTATATACTATTATTTCTTTTTTATGGATGAGGAAGTTGAGGCTTGGCAAGTTTGAGTACTTTCCTCTAGGTTACACAGCTATAAATGATAGAGTGGATACCTTAAAAACCCATCTTCGGGCTTCCCCGGTGGCGCAGCGGTTGAGCGCTGGGTTGCAAAGCTGCCTGCGGCCTCTGCCGTGCCGGTTCGATCCCCGGCTGCTCCCCGGCCACCGGAGGAGGGTCCCACATGGCGTGCAGACCTCTCCTGCCGCCCGCTGCTCCCCTCAGCAGTGTACTTCGGTCCTTCTGCCTGCTCTGCTCCCTGCTCTGGCTCTGGTGAATTCTCTCACCCTCCCGCGCTTCTTTCTGACTGTACCCAGTGCATGTATAAACAAACAAACAAATAAATAAATAAAACATGCCTCTAAAAAAAAAAAAAAAAAAAGCTAAAAACCCATCTTCCTAGTTAATTATACTATATGAGGTTCTGGTTTTATAGTTAGCGGAATGGCGGTTATAGAGGTTCCTGAGCTGCTCCCTGCCCCCTGAGTGTGAAGCCAGTTGTTCATGTATCTTTGAATCATTCTGCCAGATGGCCCCAAGGCTCAGTCAGAGATCATGGAACCAGGAATATTCTAGGAAAGGGGTCCTTTGGGAATTGCCCCGCAGGTCTATGGGAGAAAAGTACAAGTAACTGGAAAGCAGTTCCAAGGAGGGGTTGGGTTGCCTCTAAGACTGTACTGGTTCCTAACATCCTTTTTGCCTGCCCACCCACCAGGTGATGTTCCCTGCTTTCCTGGGTGAGCAGGTAACTCCTGAGGTGCTGGCAGCCACACTGGCAGAGTTGGATGTGAACCTGCAGCTTCTTGAGGACAAATTCCTCCAGAACAAGTCCTTTCTTGCAGGGCCCCAAGTCTCTCTGGCTGATCTGGTGGCCATCACAGAGCTGATGCATGTGAGTTCTGTGGACAAGTTGGACCTGCTAGGTGTGTGTGGGAGGGTGCGGCAGGGTGGTTGCTGAAGTCCTTCTCACGCCACCCTTATTTAACCACGGCACTGTGCATATGTGTGAAAACCTCTTTTAGAGCTCTCTGGCTCCCCAAACAAGATGTTGCCATCCTTAGCCTCACCCATCCACTCCCTTTCTCTCCTTTCTCCCTGTAGCCCGTGGGTGCTGGCTACCAAATCTTCAAAGAATGACCCAACCTGGCAGCATGGCGCCAGCGTGTGGAGGTGGCAGTGGGGGAAGACCTCTTCAGGGAAGCCCACGAGGCGTCCTGAAAGCCAAGGACGCTCTACCAGCAGACCCCATGATAAGGCAGAAACTGCAGTCTAGGGTGCTGGCTATGATCCAGTGAGCCATGAAGCCTCACCCTGCCACTGTCCTTAGCAGTTCACAAAGCACCCTTATTTCCAAAGCCCCATGGAAAGCAGGTTTGGAAATCATGAGTGGCTTGCTCACAGCCGTTGCACCTCTGCTCCCCAAGCCAGATCCCTACCCCCAGCTCACCTCCCATAGCTGCCTGAAAGCCATGGTGAGGATGGCATGCCCAGACCTTGCCTCCTTTAATCACTGTATTTCTTTTTCAGTTTGGGAAATAAACGTGGGCTCAGCCTGAACATATACTTCTAACCCTGAGATGTGAGTTATTTGACCTTCTGTCTCTCCAGGTGCTGCTATTTGTCTCTGTCCAAAAGACAATCCTCCTTCCTAGGCCCGTGGGTCAGTTTCCCCGTGATGGTTGCGAATGAATAAATGTCCTCTAGCTTTCAAGTGTGTAAAAGCTGAAATAAGCAGAGCCATTTTAAAATGGAGTTGGTGCACCCATTTCAGAGAAAATGCCTTGCTTTCTTGTTCCTTGAATCTTTGGATTGGACTATCCCTTTGGACTGGGTCAAATTGCAAATGCTTTGAGAAACTATCAAGGAAACAACTGTTTGGGGCCTCCCTGGTGGCACAGGGAGTCTCAGCACTGTCAAGCTATCACCAGCCACTGCAGCATGAGCTCATGAGAGTTCAATCCCTGGCCAGGGAGCTGACCCACATGGCGCAGCAGACCTCTCCTGTCTCTCCTGCTGCTCCCCTCAGTAGTGTATTTCAGCCAGTCTGCTTGTTCTGTTCCACACTCTGTCTCTGGTGAATCCTCTCACCCCTTCACCTCTGGCCTGTACCCCAGTTTTTGTTTGCATGAATAAATAAAAATAAATCTTAAAAAAAAAACAACAAACAAACCCAACTGTTTGGACTTTTGACCTGAGGATAGAATCAATAATCAGTTATGTATGGCCAAGAATAACTTAAGCTTATCAGCATTGATAGGGGCTAGGGAAGGGGATAAGTGTGCCATGCACAGTTTAGGAATCTGCATGTACATATACTATTCGACCTGTAACCTGTTTGCTCTGAGTTCACTTTCTAGTCCAGGAGGTGCCTGGAAGAGTGATGGAAGCCATTTCCGTTAGAGACTGAGCTATCCCAGGTGTGAAGTGCTTTAAATCCAGATGCCAGTGGAGAAGGAGCTGCCAGGTAGATGGGCACCATAAAACTCTCAAAAGTTGTTAACTGCTTGGAGTGAAAGCCATTCACTGATAATTAACTGTCTTTGTCTAACTGTAAAGTAGCCTGTTCCAGATGAGGTGTTAGAACAGTTTTCTTTGGGACATGATGCTCCACCATTCTCAGATTAGCTTGCTGATCTAATTAAGGCACATATTAAAGAGTCAATCCCTGTCCTTTGTCCTTTGGTTTCCACATTTGTGGCAGGCAGAAAGAATCTGGTATTTTCCTGGCAACAGCATGAGATGAACTCTTTTAAAACTATCGCTTCTTCCTCTTTTCTTTCCATAAAACCCCCTAGCTTTTGTTCCTCCTAGGGATAATGTGCTCCCTTAATTGCAATTCTTTTATCCCAAATACATGAGTATGTTTTAATTGCCCCCTAATTTTAATTTTTTTTAAAGATTTATTTATGCATACAAAAACTGCGGTGCAGGCCAAAGGTGCAGGGGGGGGGAGAGGATTCACCAGGGTCAGAGTGGGGAACAGAACAGGCAGACTGACTGAAATACACTATTGAGGGGAGCAGCAGGCAAAACAGGAGAGGTCTGCTACCTCCCTGATGGTGCAAGGGGTTAAACACAGCACGATGAAGCTATCTGCAGCATGAGTTCAGTCCCGCACAGTGCAGCCTACTAATGTTTAGGTTGAGTTCTTGGAGAGAATAACTTGTTAGAGAGACAGGGGCCCGCAGGCAGCCCACATAGCATCATTGATAGGAATGGCGATCCATTAGTTGTCTGGGCCAACCTCCCAGGACATGACCCTTTGGCACCAAGTTCTGTAGACTATGACTGCTGCATTTGTTCTGAGCAATTGGTCAAGAAGGGACAATCTAAATGGCAGCTCTTCTGATCAGGTCTCAGTCATGTAGGGCCTTAAATACTGTGCCTGGGATCTATAAAACACAACAGGAGGGCCTCCCTGGTGATACAAGGGGTTAAGTCTCAGCACTATGAAGCTATCTGCAGCACAAGTTCAGTTCGATACCTGGCTAGGGAGCTAACCCACACGGCACAGCAGACCTCTCCTGTCTCCCCTACTGCTTCCCTCAGTAGTGTATTTCAGTATATCTGCCTGTTCTGCCCTCCATTCTGCCCCTGGTGAAACCTCTCATCCCCTCTATCTCTGGCCTAAATCTTTTTAAAAAAGATTTATTTATTTATGCATACAAGAACTGGGGTACAGGCCAAAGATGTAAGGGATGAGAGGATTCACCAGAGACAGAATGGGGAACAGAAGAGGTGGATTGTTAGAAATACACTGCTGAGGGGAGCAGCAGGTGAGACAGGATAGGTCTGCTGTGCCATGTGGGTAGCTCCCTAGCCGGGGATCTAACTCTGCTGCAGTGGCTGCAGATAGCTTCATTGTGCTGTGTCTTAATCCTTGCGCCACCAGGGATGCCCCAATAAATTAAATCTTTAAAAAAAAAAAAAACCCATACAAACAGGAATGGAATGCTCAGATTATGTTTTAGAACATTCTGAGTTGCTGTGGGGGTTGGACTGCATAGCAGTCAGGGAGAAAGCAGTGAAACTGGATATTGCAGTAATCCGGTCAAAGGTGATTTGTGAACAGGCCTCGAGGTAAGCGGAGAGCATGGCCCCTTCCAGCTGGGAGAGGATTGTTAGCACTATGCCAGCAAGCCATTTTATGGTGGGAGTCAGGGTGAGGGAGGGTGGGGTGAGCAGGTAGAGGTCTTCCTTAAAAGGGAGCATAGGAAAGAAATGGGGACATTGTAAGCGCCCCTGTAAATTGTAAACCCCACAGGGCTTCAGCTGCCCAGATTTGTTAAGAATATGACTCCAGGATTAGGGTGAGGCGGCTCATTCCTTCCAGAGAGTGTGGGCCTGGCCTCGGCAGGTATCAGGGTTCATAAACCCTCTCTAGCCTCCTCTCTGGTCACTGGACCCAGGGGAGGTTTGGGCACTTCCTTTCTCCTCCCTTTGCATTCCCTGGGACTCCGAAGCCCCACCTCTCTCAAGTCCTCTGGGCAGGTGGGGAGGGTGGTTTGGGCTGACTGTTCTAGATCGCAATCCAGTCTTTACCGCCTTAAATTCACTGAGCATCGCACCGCTGGTGTCCCATTTGCCATTACCATCCCCCGAGCCCTACCCCGCTCCCCCTCTACCCCGCATCCCTGAATCCCCGCATTTGACGAAGAGTAGGGAAGGGGTGTAGCTGGGCTGCGAAACCCAGTTTCTCCAGACACTCCTACCCTGTCTTCCCCCCCTCCCCTCCTCCCCCTCCCCTCCTCCCCCCCCCCGCCCCTCCTTCCCTCCCTCCGCCCCTCCCCCCACCCCTCCTTCCCCTCCCCCGCCCCTCGTCCCCCTTCGCCCCCCCTTCCCCCGCCCCTCCTCCCCCTCCCTTCCTCCCCCCTCCCCCTGCCCCCTCTCTCGAGTTCCCGAGCCGGGCATCCCAGACTTCCCGAGAGGGACGCGGGAGAGCAGGGGCATCGCTGATTGGCCCAAAGTTCTCGGGCGCCGTCCACCGGGAGGGGAGGAGGACCCCCGAGCTCTGGCTGCAGACGGCGCGAGGCTGCAGGTTCGGTGGCCCGGCAGTTCCTTCCAGCGGTTCCGGTACCCTTTCCTGCCCCCGGGTTTGCCCGCCGTCCCCGCCATGGGCCTGGAGCTCTACCTGGACCTGCTGTCCCAGCCCTGCCGCGCCGTCTACATCTTCGCCAAGAAGAACCGCATCCCTTTCGAGCTGCGCACAGTAGATCTGCTTAAAGGTGGGCCCCGCGGCTGGGCTGACGGTGTGGGTGGGCTGTGGCAGCCAGAACCCCGCTCGTCCGCGGCGCCTCGCTGTCAGCTTATGTGTGCAGACAGCGGGGAGAGACGGACGCCCCAAAGCGCCTCCATCTTTGCCTAGGGAACAGAAACATTTTTCAAAATACAGGTTAAGAGGGAGCAGGGCAGATGGGGGAAGGGGTGGGCATGGTCGAGTAAGGGTGCTGTGCAAGGAAGCGGGGAGACGACCTGAATGCCTCAACAGCAGGATTTGGAGAGAACAGTGAAACTGTTTCCTAGTAGGGGTAGTTCCCATCTTCAGCGTTTCTGCATCTGCTATCAGTAGAAGGTTGTTTCCCTTGCACCTGGGTCTCCTCTTTACTACTCTGGACCCTGTCTAGATCCCCTGACGTTTTCAGAATCCAGTGGAGGGGGACGGGCTGTAATTGGACTGTGGGGTAAGTTCTGGAACCAGAATCTGTTAGTCAGGCTAAGAGGCTGCCCGTCTTCTGCTGGTGGCGCACCCAGGCTGGCTACGAACTGTTGCCGGTCCACCTGACTTGATCACTCCAGCACTCCTTGGCACAGGGGCTGGGCACAAGGGCAGTTTCTGGAAGAACAGATAGGGATTATTCTGTCCACTCAGTAGAAAGGTAAAGGTGTGCCCTTAACCAGGCTGGGGCCTGGCTCCATGGAGCCTTCTGATGCTGACGCTTGCTTGGTATGCCCTCCAGCAATGGCCCTGATTGGGATGGTATGCAGAAGTTAGACCTGGGAATCCCCTCTGGAGAGAGAGACTTGAATCACCTCTCTTGCCTGCACCCCCCCCCCCACACACAATGATGAGACTGCGTGACCCAGGGCCCAAGGGTGGTGGGCCCAGGAAGAGTGGACTCTAGTGGAGTCAGGGTCTGTGATCCAATGACCTGTGAATGGCTTCCCCTTTCCTCTTGCCTTACCTGGATGGGGTCTCAGAACCATTGGTGCCTAGATGTTGGGGTGAAGGGGTGGCAAATGCCTCAGGGGGCCCAGAGTTCCCCGCCCCCCCTACCTCACTGATCTCTCCCACAGGCCAGCACCACAGCCCTTCCTTTGCCCAGGTGAACCCTCTGAAAAAGGTACCAGCTTTAAAGGATGAAGACTTCACATTGGCTGAGAGGTAACCTGGGCTTGTGGGGCCAGTCACTGTTGATGGCTTGGATTGCAGCCTATGTGCCCCAAGCACTTGTGCCAGCCCCTGGCAGATAGTGGGCTGAAGCAGGAAGTGCCTAGGGCTGGGAAGGGCTAGTGAAGTCCTGCTCCCCCTGCATCACATAGATGAAGCCAGGAGAGGGGAGGGACTTGTCGCAGGTCACAGGGCTCCATTTGCTTCTGGGCCTCCTCACTGCCAACTCAATCCTTAGGCAGAAGGAGAGTTCTAAGTATGGAGCAGCAGCCATACCAGGTACTGTAGAGCCACTGCGTCTCCTGAAAATACTGTGGGGCAAGTGCAGTTCTCTAAATTGAGGGAACACCCAGAGACCTGCAGTGGCTATTTGGAGAGCACTCACCTGGACCGGAACTGTCTAAGCCCTAAGGTTTCATCAGTGCACATTTCTAACTAAGCCTTTGTCCACATGGGACTCACATTCTAGAATGAGGTTCTGACAATAATCTATGTAAAAGGGTAACATCAGGTGGTGTTGAGTGTCATGGAGAAAACTGCTGGGAGCCAGCTTCGGCAAACTGGGTGTCAGGGGTTCCTGAAGGATGGGACGGCGCCGGCGCAATTGAGGAATGAGGTAGACACACACAATGTCTTGTGTTAGTATCTCCTACTGAGGGTCTCAGCAGGTCTTTATTTATACATTTAGGCAAGCAGTGAGATTACACCAACATAGGCATGGAAGCAAAGCAGAAACAATCAGTGCATTCTTTTCCCATGAACATCTGGCTCCTACTGGTCTCAGCAAGATGGTAGCCTTCAAGGTTAATAGATAAAAAAACTAAACCTTACACTAAAACTCATTATTTCAGCTAGACAATTACCTAAGACAGCCGATAGCCATCAGTACACTCCTATCAGCTAAAGCCTAAGCATCAAAAGACTCTTCTATTCATATGGCCTTCAGCTGAAGACCAGCTGCTTTCTGGTTATCAGCTAACAGGGTTTTCTACCTAGAAACTTATTAACACAATTAACTTCATAGCTCATTAAAAAAAAACTTTCCTAAGAAACTTCTAAAAAAGGCAAAAGAAGGAATTACTATAGTCGTTGTCCTGGATTGCTTGTCAGGCATGTTCATGTATAACAAATTGTTTCCCATTGTCAGGCAGGCCAAATTTAGTGTTTTAATTTTTAAGCAGGTATTTCTTTGTGCCATTTACTTACAGTATTCTTATATGTATAATTTATTGCCCAATGTACTTTCTGAGTTTTTCTTATATAATCAAGAACAAAAAAAAAGGGGATGTTTGTGGGTTGCAGATTAATCTTTGGCCCCATGGTGTGGGGTGCAGGGAATCTTCAGCCTCAAGGTGTGAGGCCCTTTGGAAATCTTCAGCCCCAGGGTGTGAGGCCCTTTCTTTTGTTTACCAGCATCTTAGCTGGTTGGGGCAGCAAGGCCCCCTGCAGAAAACAGATTGGGTAAGATGGGGGTGTGTATGGTTTTGAGTAGGATATTGAGTGAAGGCTCCCTTGAGGACATGGCATATGAGCAGAGGGGCAAGGTGTGTGGGGAAGAGTGTTCTGACTGGTGGGAACAGTGAGGTTAAAGGTGGGACAATGCTTGGGGTATAGGCAGAAGAGCAAGGGGCCAGTGTGCTGGGTGAGTGAGGGGAGAGAGCAGGAGGTGAGGTCTGAGGGTAGCACATAGACTTTAAGTGGAGGAGAACTGTGATCCAGCTTAAGTTTTCAAGAATCCTTCCAGCTGGGTGGGGAGGCTACTTGCTAATCGAGGTGAGAGATGCTGGGGCCCCAGACCAGGGTGGTGGTGGTGATGCAGGGGAGGTAGTGGTCTATTCTGGCTGCTCCTGATGGTTGAGCTGAAGGGTTTTCTGAAGGGTTGGAGGTGGGTGGTAGACAAGGGCCCAGGCCAGCGTCCAGATTATTGGCTGAATGGTGGTATTCTTTACCAAGCCCACATAGTACCTCCATGGTAGAGCCAGATTCATGCTTTACTTAGTTCCAGAGTCTGAGGTCGCTCAACAGTGCAGTACCCATGGAGGCATGGTGTTCTGGGAGTCAGTCTGCATGGGCCAGGCCTGATGTAGGTAGGGAGAGGGGTGAGGAAGATACTGGGAGAGATTCCTTGGAGAGGGGCCTCTGGAGTCTTTGGGCAGGTAGAGAGGAAAAGGAACAGTGCCCCATGTCATCTGGGAGGGCCTGCCCCAGGCCAGGAGAACATGAGGAGAACATGGTGTGTCCATGCCAGGAGCAAGGATATATTGGGGAGTGATATCAGAGTTGCTCTTGTCCTTCAAGGCCCACACAGGCTCCCCTTATATGTATAATATATGTGTGTGTGTGCATGCCCTTAGTGTACATGGTTGAATAGCCCAAATAGAACTGTGTGACCCTGGGCATCCACCTAACTTCTCTGAGATTCACATTCCTACTCTGCACCATGCTTCACTGACAGGAGCTAAGAAAAGACATGCAAGCAGTGGTGGGGGCTTGGGGGGTGCGGCAGGGACGGGGTGGGAGAGAAGGGCTGGTCCTCTGGATTGGCTGCAACATGACTAGAATATGTTTTGGCTCTGGCATGTTCCCCAGTGTGGCCATCCTGCTTTATCTGAGTCGGAAGTATAAGACCCCTGACCACTGGTACCCCCAAGACCTACAGGCCCGTGCCCGTGTAGATGAGTACCTGGCATGGCAGCACACAGGCCTTCGGAACTGCTGTACGCGGGCCATGTGGCAGAAGGTAAGCTGAGCCTGGATCATGTGGCACAAGGGGTGGAACCCCTCCTAGGATACTCAGGGGATAGATAGTACTTTCTGTTTTAAAACTTTCCTTCAGATCTGAGACCTTCAGCCACCAAATTCTAGAATGCCAGCTACTCTCTAGTCTAATCAACTTGTGTCTCAAAGGAATAACCGAGGTGTACAGTTAGTGATTTCTCTGAAACGCCTTGATTCCTGAGCTGCTGGAAATTAATCCTGTGCACTTTTGAATTCTCCAAGCTTCCTAGGAATATTGCTTTTGTGGGGGAGAAACAAAACAAAGTCTTCACCTTTCTATACACACCCTTTCCACATGGTGTTAAGTGAAAAAATTCAAACTGGAAGAAGTGAGGAGGCATTTCATTAAATATTGACTGATTTCTGAGTATGCAAGGATTTCTAAGCCCAAGAACAGTGGAAGAACTTAAGGAAAAGCCTAATAACATTTGTATGTACAATGAAGTTTTGAGTAAGGAAAAAAGCATTAAAATAAGCAAAAAACATGGGAAGATTTTGGCAAAGATGTGAGAAAGAAGAAATGTTTTTAATGTTTAAGATGCTCTTATAAACCCATCAGACAAAGATAAAGGAGAAAAACAGGCAAATAAAACTAGCTAGAGATTTAATTGAAGAACAGAGAGAAATAGTCAGTAAATGGATGAAAACACATTTAACTTCAGTAAAAATCAAGTCAATGCATATGAAAACAGCACGCACTATTTTTGCTTATGAAACATGCAGAGGTTTTTGGAATGACTTCTCTGAGTTATTATTTGTACAGCATGTACACAGTGCCTACCATACAGTGGATGACTAGGTATTAGGGAACCTGAGATGAGCATGTTTATGCCTGTTGCAGGTGGGGTACCACCATTCTGGAGGACCATTTGGTAGGTTTCTGTAACCTTAAAAGTATCTTCCTTGATAGTACTTCCTTGAGGTAGTTGGAGCTGGAGCCTGGTGCATTTAAGGACAGAATGAAGAGAAGTCAAGTAGAGCAAGTGTAGACCTTTGTTGCTCCAAGTGTGGTCCACACACCTGGGGATTAGCATCACCTGGGCGCTTCTTGGAAATGCCACTTTAATCAGGCCCCAGAGGAATAGGCATGTACGTTATCATTTGAGATGTCTGGGTAGTAGGATGTGGGAATGGGGAGAGGATGGGCTTTGTGTTAAGGCCTTTACGATGAGAGCAGTGGGGTACCATGGAAGGCTTTATACAGGGAGAAGATATGGGCAGACTGGGATTGTAGAAAAATCTCCCTGATTGTTCTGTGTGGGGACCCAGGGAAAGATGAAAGGTGCATAGATGAGGCCTGAGCTGATAGTGACCAATAGTGGGAAGGGGATGGGTGATGAGAAATTCGAGGACTGGTGACACACTGAATGGGAGCAGGAACCAAGCTGGGTTTGAGACAGATCCTGAGCCCTCTTTCTGCCTGCTCACCTACCAGATGTTGATTCCTGTGTTCTTGGGCGAAACAGTGCCCCCTGAGATATTGGCATCTACTCTGGCTGAGTTGGACAGGTGCCTGCAACTGCTTGAGGACAAGTTCCTGAAGGACCAGGCCTTCCTTACAGGGTCCCATATCACAGTGGCTGACTTGGTTGCCATCACAGAGCTGATGCATGTAAGTGCTATGGGATGGGTGGCCCACGAGGCAATGGAGTGTCCTGGGAGGGAGCCAAAGTATTAGCTCATTTTGATCTCTCTACCTATGGGACCCTCAATAAGTCACTTCCCTTCATGAGAGTCTTCATTTATAAAATGAGTCTTTGAAGGGGAAAATCCACCCAGGGGGATCGCTAAGCCAAGTCTTGATGCCTTGTGTTTATGCCCAACCCTTCCACCTGGCTCCCTCTCCCCATAGCCTGTCAGCGCTGGCTGTCAAGTCTTCAAAAGCAGACCCAAGCTGGATGCTTGGCGCCAGCGTGTAGAGACTGCAGTGGGGGAGGACCTCTTCCAGGAGGCCCACGAAACCATCATGAAGGCCAAAGACCTGCCTCCAGCAGACACTGCCATGAAGGAGAGGCTGAGGCCCTTGGTGCAGCTTTTTTTCCATTGAGTGAGGGGCTGGGCCTGTAGAATCACTGATGACAATAAAGACCATTTTCAGAATAAAAAGCTGGGGCCTCCCCTATCTGACTGTGAGTAAGAACCCCTGCATAGTTTCTGGTCCACCATTCCCTCCATGTATCAGTTCTTTCGTCTTTCCTCTCACTCCCTGTTGTCCCTTCCACTCCTACTTCCAGGTAGCCTCTGGAAAGAGCTTTCTAAACATTTAACCCTCTTCCTCCTCTGAAACTTTCCTTGGTTCCTCTCTGTCCTGGGGTAAAAGTACAAATCTGTGAGCTTTGCATTCGAGGCCTTGTTCCCACGGCTCCAGGCTGCCCTCTTGTGGTTCTACAGAGTAGCCCATCATGTTTTAGCTCCCTTCCCCACCTTCCACCTTGGCCTCCTAGCCTTGACTCATTCCATTTCTGCTACCTCCAGAACCTCTTTTGGCATTTGTTACTGTGATACTTTTCCAGGGAGACTTCCCCCCTAGCCCCCGCCCTAGACCCAGTCAGATGACCCCTCTAGTCCCAGCAATTCTTTTTCTCTGTCCTGTCAGGGAGCTGGTTCCACATCCCCTGGACTGAGCACTTGTTACTGATCTCGTGAAGAGATGTCTGAATTAGTAATGGCCTTAGTCTCCTAGCTGTCTCTCCTCTTTCTGGGGTGTAATTCTACCTCCCACTTGAATCCCTTTGCAGGGATGGAAATCCCAGGTTATTTTCCGGTCCTCCAGGTACTGCTGAGAGACCTTCCTCTCTATGCCTGTTCATACCCACCACATTGTGTTCTCCATGCCACGCTCTGGGTCCCGGGCTTTCCACCTGACCCTGCCCTTTCCCTTCAGCTCTGTGACAACCTACCTCTGAAATTGTAGTCATGCCATAAAGTGCTAATGAACAGAGACATCAATAGAGACTCTCAGCCCACTAGCCTTCCCGTAAATATGTATACTCATAGTGCCTCCCTGGTGATGCAGCGGTTGAGCGCTGGGTTGTGAAGCAGCCTGCAGCCTCTGCAGCGCTGGTTCGATCCCCGGATGCTGGGCGAGGGTCCCACATGTGCAGACCTCTCCTGCTGCCCGCTGCTCCCCTCAGCAGTGTACCTCTGTCAGTCTGCCTGCTCTGCTCTCCGCTCTGGCTCTGGTGAATTCTCTCATCCTCTGTCACTTCTGACTGTACCCAGTGCTTGTATAAATAAATAAATAAATCTTTAAAAAATATATATATATATACACTCATAAAATTTTGTAGGTGTAATTGGAATTGTTCATATGTACCCACACAACTTCAATTCTATTTTCATTTACAATTCAAACAACCTCACAACACTGATGAGAGTATGTACCATGATTAGCCACACCAACAGATTTCCACATTTTAAATAACACTTTTGTTTTGCCTATAGAAATACAGGGGTACCATAAATATTGCTGGGAATTCTGCTAGAACCTGACTTCTACCCTCTGGTGCAAAACCCCTCACTCTAAGGCAAGGTTGCCATCAGCACAAGTGACAGGTCTGTGGGGACCAGGAAGGGATGCAGTGAACCCAGTGTTTTTTGCATAACCCCACCAGCGCCAACAGCTTGTCACCAGGTCTAATGCTGATGAGAAGCTGAGATTTGCATATTGAAGATGAAGTCACCTGACTTTGAAATGATGCCCAGGTCCCAAAAAATATTTTAAGCCTCTTGAGGGTGTAATGTTATAAGGGTCGCGCCTGGGGGAGTCCCTGTAGGTGTGTCTATTTTGGGAGTGTTCAGTACTCTGAAAGGAAACCAACTGATTTCAGCGCCACAAAGATGCAGAAGAAGGGGCTTCTCTGGTGGCTCAAGGGGTTGCGGCTCAGCACTATAAGGCTGTCAGCAGCCACTGCAGCACGGGTTAGATTCCCCCCCCTCCAACCCCCCCACTCCCCAACCCCCCGGGGGAGCTAGCCCACGTGGTGCAGCGGGCCTCTCCGGTCTCACCTGCTGTTCCTGTCAGCAGTGTATTTCTGTCTCAGTTGGATCCTCTCACCCCCGCCCCTCTGGCCTGCACCCCAGCTCTTGTATGCATGAATAAATAAATCTTTGGGGGAAAAATAAAAGACGTAGAAGAACCCTAGCCAGTTTGGAGCTGGGCGGGACCTGGGCGTGCTGGGCGGGACTACCGGGAGTCCAGTCTTGTTTGGGGTGGGGTTACCAGGAGCCGGCCCCGCGAAGGGACTTCCGGAATCAGGGCCGTGAACTCGAGGGGGTGTAGCCTAAACAGCCAATCGGGGGACTCTGCGTGCTTGTCCAGCCAATGAGGAGCCCGGTTTCCAGGCCGCCGCCGCAGCTTCCTATCCCCCACACTAGGGGACACCCATCCTCCCCCGGGCGTTCTTTCTCTCCCACGGCCCCTGCCTGCGTTTCCCGCCGACATGCCGTTTGTAGAGCTGGAGACGAACTTGCCCGCCAGCCGCTTGCAGGCGGGGCTGGAGAAGCGGCTCTGCGGGGCCGCCGCTGCCATACTGGGCAAGCCCGAGGACGTGAGCCTGGGCCAGGGGGCGCGGGGTTGGGGGAGGGCCCTGTCCACGCCCGGGTTTCCCCATGACCTGACTTTTCTTCCCGGGGCCCCCGCACACTCGTCCACCAAGCTCTGACCTGTCGCTCTCGGCGATCTCGCGGCCCCGTCCCCTTACACCCACGTCTGCTCCGCGTCGCTTCCCAGCCATGACCCCGGCATGACCTCCAAGGGCCCGTGCCCATGCCCCTGGCTCTGACCCTGCGGGGCCCGCGCCTCTCCCCGCTCGCCCTCTCGGGTCCTCGGCGTGAGGACTGCCTGCTCCCGCTTCAGGCGAAACTTTTTTTTTTATTTAAAGATTTGTTTATTTATTTATACAAGCACTGGGCACAGTCAGAAGCGCGGGAGGGTGAGAGAATTCACCAGAGCCAGAGCGGGGAGCAGAGCAGGCAGAGGGACCGAAGCACACTGCTGAGGGGCGCAGCGGGCGGCAGGAGAGGTCTGCGCGCCTTCGGGCGAAACTTTTGTGTCCCCCACAGCGCGTGAACGCGACGGTGCGGCCAGGCCTGATCATGTCGGTGAATGGCTCTGCTGAGCCCTGCGCGCAGCTGCTCGTCTCCTCTATCGGTGTGGTGGGCACCGCGGAGGAGAACCGCAACCACAGCGCCCGTTTCTTCGAGTTCCTCACCAAGGAGCTCAATCTGGGCCAGGACAGGTGTGTATGGGCAGGGAGACCACCCACTTGGGACTGCACCGCCCCTTCAGAGAGTGCTTCCACCTCAGTCCCTTCTCAAGATTGAGAAGGGGAAACAATACATTCCTCACCCTGTCCAAGGAGGGCCCTGTTGACCCCTCCCCCTGATGGTGAGTCCACCTTCAGAGTGGTGACCGAAATGAATGACTTCCTCCCTCTGCAGTGGTCCCTGTCACTCTTGGGGAAGACATGGCTCACTACCTCATTGTTTCTGTGAATCCAGTTGGCTCTCCTTTTACCATTCCCTGGGGGACCTGGAAGGGTCATATGGATTGGTGTGCTTTGTGTCTTGGTAACTGGCAGTCTAGCATTTATCACCTTATGTCAGGCTTCTCCACATCAAAAATAATAACAAATATAAGTATAAGATAAATAAATAAATATGATATAAAGCAAAGATAAATGTAAAATATTATAAAGAATAATTTTCTAGAACTTTTCAAGATCGTTAGGAGGAATTCTGTGTTAAGTCCTGAGGCTGTGTGACCTTTGGGCCTGTGACCCAACCCAGGTCCCTGGTGAAGCTCCTGGGAGGGTCTTGGAATAGTGGAAAGAACATTGACCTGGCTCTCTGGAGACCTGGGCTCTAGGTACAGCACAGCTGATGGAGTCCAGACAAACCTAGAAATGCACATCAATGATTTGTAGTCTTCTCTTTTTTGACTAGGGGGACATGTATAAAATGACCCCTAAGAAGTCTCTATAGACCCCAGAACCTGGGATTCTGTGGCAGGGTTAAAGTTTCTTTCTGCATGAAAAATATCCCTGAACCAAGTCCTAGCCTATGAGAAATTAAGGTCATCCAAAGCTTGAAAGAACCTTCTAGAATGGAACCATGGATGGCCCAGGAAGTCTTGTGAGGAATGGGCATGGCTTATGGTTGCCTTAGACTTGTCACTAGGGAGACATAATAATTCTAATAACAGAAAGTAACTTTTTTGTGAATGTTTACTATATGCCTCTTTTGGCCTATTTACACATGGTAAAACTGAAGTACACATCCCCTCCTCTTCACCCCAGAGGTTATTCCCAGTATGTTGGTCCTCTTCACCAGGAATTCCCCTCATGTCTGTGAGAGGTGACAGTCATTCATTCTACAACATTATTTGGGGGTCACCCTATGACTGGTTTGAGCCAGGCTTTGATAAAACAAAGATGCCTGGGGCACTGTGCTTGTTTGGAAGAGGGAAGGTTGCCCCTGTGAGCTCATAGACAAAGTAAACAATGACCACAGAGAATGCTGTGTTGAATGTCCGGGACCACCACCATCCTGCCCCCGCCATACCCCTTACCCTGTCTGAGATTAAGGGAGATTATTAATGGGATCAAGCAGGCTTGAACAATGCCTAGTAGATAAGGCAGGATGTCCTGGGAGCCCATCCATGATGGAAGAACCTGGCTGAAATGAGTTGTCTTGGAAATGAGTTGTTAGTTAAGGAACTGATGACATCTTTTTCTCTATCTCCCGAAGGATAATTGTCCGCTTTTACCCTGTGGAACCCTGGCAGATTGGCAAGAAGGGGACAGTCATGACATTTTTATGATGGGCAAAGCAGCCATCCAGGGATTCTGTGAACTGGCCATCCCTTCCAGAAATACCTGCCGGCAGAGTAAGGGCCTGCCTGGTGGAAACCAGTTTCTGGCACCCCCTCATGCAGTCATACCTGTGACCTCACATTCCTCTTCTTCCCCTTCCTTATGAGAAATAAAGGAAGAGAACTTTGTCTTTCAAACATGACTGCTTCACCTCTTTTTATGCCTCCCCAGATTCTAGTCCACCTTGCACAATGGGGTTTATTTATAATGTGGGGGTTTTAGGGGAGTGGGATGTTTCCTGCTGCTGTTTAATGTATTTAGGCTACTCAAATCTGAGGTGGAAGTCTCAGCTTGGAGGGCCTTGCTCTCTATACCTTTGTAGGATTCTTGGACCCAATTTCCAAAATGTGAGTATGTGGAGACTTGCCCACATCAACAAACAATTTTTAGACACTAACTGAGGTGAGAATTCAAAGAAGTGTTCAATTATTCAATTTTGACACTAACAGAGATAGCATCAGATTCCACAGGTTAAGGGCCTCGTCTCCCAAGAGTGCTCTCGGCTACTGGTTATAAGTCAGAGGTTTCCATGACCCGCTATTCAGGTTTGATTATTGATCATTTGTTAGACTCACACAGAATGCAGGAAACCTGTTTCTCACTAGATCACCGATTTATTACAAAAGGCTCTAACTCAGAACAATCAGTTGGAAGAGATATGCATAGGGGTAAGGGATGGGGAAAGGGTGAGGGCTTCCATACTCCACGTGTGCCCCTATCCCCAGATCTCCCCACCTCCACCAACCCGGAAACTCTCTGAGGCCCTCCTTTGGATTTTTATGGAGGCTTTATTATATAGGCGTGATTCATTAAATTAGTTGCCAATGGCAGTTGAACTCAGCCTCCTGCCCTCTCTGGAAATCTATTCACTTTGGGTTTCTCTGACAACCAGCACCCCATCCTTGCTGGGGTGGGGGTTGTTTCCAAGTTACCCCATTAACATAACAAGAGACACCTTCCTATCTTGACACTTAAAAAATTCAAAGGGTTTTATTATGGGCCTGGAACTGGGGATAAAGACCAAACATGTATGAGAAACATGTTCTGGTTATCTGAGTGACCTATTATATATTTCCTATAAATCATAATATCACAATGTGCATGTTCAGGCTGCTGTGGAGGGGCTGGCATCTGGTACAGCTTGAGACCTTCATGCAGATTTTAACTGACCAGATGTTCCCCTCAGCTTGGAGTGGCCTGGATAGTTAGGGATCCCAAACACTGCTGTGCCTGGCAGGGAAGCTGGGCTGGCTGTACTTCCCTTCACGGTATTGGCATTCCCACATTCTGTCTTCTCCTCAGTCTTGCTGAGAATTCTCTGTAGCTGTGCACTTTGTAAAACCCATTCCCAGAATGGCAAACCTGGAATTGCAATGTCTGCTACCAGAAACTGAATAATTGGAATCCCTGCCTACTCTCCCTCCCCCACCCCCATCTAAATGCAATATCATGCATTCAGAGTATAGGCTGGGGGGGAAGCCTAAAGATAGTATCCTTGACAATTACCTTCTGGATGTTAGATGCTCAGTTTATATTTTGTGACCTTTAGACACCATAGTGGGCACTGTGTTTCCTTGCACAGTTGAGTGATTGATTATTGTTGTTTTTAGTGTGCCAGTGAAATGCCATCTTTCCACTATGGAAAGATGTACGGAGGTTCCTCAAACTGCTAAAAATGGAGCTCCCATATGATTCAGCAATTTCACTCCTAAGTGTCTACCCAAAGGACACAAAAACATAATTCAAAAGGGACACCTGCACCCCTATGTTTATCGCAGCACTATTTACAATAGGCAAGCTATGGAAACAACCCAAATGCCCAAGAATAGATGATTGGATCAAGAAGATGTGGAACATATACACAATGGAATATTACTCAGCAATCAAAAAAGATAAACTCATGTCATCTGCAGCAACGTGGATGGAGCAGGAAGGGATCATGTTCAGTGAAATAAGTTAGAAAGAAAAAGAAAAATACCATATGGTTTCTCTTACAGAAGGAATGTAGGGGATCCAAATAAGGGATCGGGGGGAAAAAAGTAATTGTAATTAAGTAAAAATCAAAATCAACAGGCAACTATAAACCAGAGACATTCTGCGGGGGGGTAGGAGGGAGTTGGATCAAAACAGGGGTAGAGCCTCCCTGGTGGCACCAGGGTTAAAGACACAGAACTATCAAGCTATTGCCAGCCACTGAAGCACGAGTTCCATCCCTGGCCAGGGAGCTACCCACATGGCGCAGCAGACCTCTCCTGTCCTGCCTGCTGCTCCCCTCAGTAGTGTATTTCAGTAGATCTGCCTGTTCTGTGCCCCACTCTCTCTGGTGAATCCTTTCACCCCCTGCACCTCTGGTCTGCACCCCAGTTCTTGTGTGCATAAATAAATTCTTAAAAAAAAACAACAGGTGGGAAGAGCACAAGGGACTATGGCGATAGTACATGGGTGAATGGGTGGTGGGAATTCCATGGGGACTGTACCTGAGATGATAAAGCATACATTGAGTAAAAATGAAGAATAATGTAAAATATATATAAAATAATTTTTAAAAAGGGAAAAAAAAGCTAGGACTTTGGAGTTCTTTTCCTTGGCTCTCTGTACCAACCAGAAAAGCTCTGGGAAGTTTTGTGGGTTGAAAGTGAATGAATGAAGTGAATTCCCAAGGGGGAATTCAGGCCTAAACCCTAGGACTGATGGAAGCTTAGAGTAGAAAATGTAGGATGGAGTTTAAGATGAAGTTTTCATGAGCTCAAAAACCAGAGGTGGGGGTAGGGATGATAAAAGAGTCCTTCAACCAATTATGGAAGTTTTCAGGAATCTGAGGTGGGGGCAGAGAGAGAACCAACTCAACCCAACCTCAAAGCAATAAAATTTCACAAAGGAATGAATCCTCCCAAAGAACACTATACAAGAATATCATTTGCTCTGTTAAACACAGATTTTGTCCTTTAAAACTGTCTGCTTGTGTCTATGCATGCATATTTTTTAATAAACCTGGCCCTTTCAAAGTACAGGTATTAAGACTGCCCGCCTGCCTCTACACAAGTCTCTTTTCCTTAATAAACCTTTAAAAATAAGCCTTTGCCTATTCGTGGCTATGTAAATGTCTAAACTTGTCTTATGCCACCGAGGGGAAACTGCTGAAATCTTGATCAGAGGGACCCAAGAACCTCACTCAGTGAAACCCAAAAAAGAACCATAAGGCAACAGTTTCCTATTAAGTCTCCCCACCTTTGGGGGGATATTATCTTTCCCCAGTGTAGCCCCGAGTCACCTCCCCTTCACCCCAAAAGTGCTGCAGGAGGCTTGGGCATGGCCTGCATTGTTTTACATTTCCAAACCCTCCTCTTTCAGCTCCTGCTGCTTGTACTGCCCTTCCTATCTTTTTCCAATTGTTTCACTGCAGAGCATCTTTCGAAGACACAATTCACTATCCCTTCCCCTAAGGTTGTGCTCCTCTTAAGATCAAGTTTAGATGGTCTCCCTGGTGACACAGGGGTTGAAGTTTCAGCGCTATCAGGCAATAACACTGCAGCATGAGCTCCAGGGATCTAACCCACATGGCCAGCTGCACCCCTCAGCAGTGTATTTCAGTAAATCTGCCTGTTCTTTCTGCTCCCCACTCTGTCTCTGGTAAATCCCCCAACCTCTGGCCTATACCCCAGTTCTTGTATCATAAACAAATAAATCTTAAAAAGAAAATCAAGTTTGGCGGCTCAATCATTTTTTGTTTTTCCTGGTACACTGGTAAAGCTTTATGGTGCTGATACCGGAATTGTCAGGCCTAGTCTCCCAGGCAGGAATGGATCTCAGGCTGCAGGGCAGCGCTGAGCCCCAGCCACTAGACCCCCACGGGTTGGTGTCTCACGAAGCCGCAGCAGGAACTTCGCAGACGCTCAGGCAAGCAAGCGAGAAGAGGCAGGTTTGTTTAGAGAAAGTTTATTGAGGAGAAAAAGAGCAGAAATAAAGTGGGACTCCCAGGCCAGGGAACCAGGCCTGGGAGGGGCAAGGAAGCCAAAGTGGAGTCGTGTCTCAGGGAATATAGACCTTTTTTCCCTCATTATTCTAAAGCTCCACCAGTCTCTTTGTGATTGGTTAGTTCTCGGCTGTCTCAATTTGCTACTGAGTGGGGGATCTTCACATTCCTTATCTAACAGCTTTCTCTTTCCCCATTTGTTGCATCTTTAAATTTATGGCCCAGTCCTCTGGATGGGCATCCCTGCATTGAAGTTAAACAGCTGCCCTTCTAATGTGTCCATAAATTAAACCACTCTCCATTCCTCCAATCTCCACCTCCCTTTACCACCTGAAGGAAACCAGGACTAGCATTAACAATGTTGTCCTTGGTCCTGGGATGTTTGTTTTTCCTAGTGGAATGGGTTACTTTCCCTTGGTTGTCCTTATCTCTGAAGCCTCCCTAAATTCTTCAGAGGTCCCCTCCTGCACTGTCCCTAAAACTGCCTAATTTCTAGCTTGCCCTGTGTCTCAGTGCTTAACAGACTGCATGAGTTCTTTACCATGATTTTACTGTTTTTAAATAAAGTCAAAGAGTCATTAACATTCATTCCTATTTAAACCATCCTTGCTGGACTCAAGCGGCTATGAATGTCAACCAGTTGTGAAGCCCTTCCTTCCCTGTGCACTTCCCTGTGCACTTATCTCATCCCAAGGCCATTGTCTGAAACTCTTCAATGCCGGAACCTCTTTTCAGCTCTGGAATTCTGTCACTCCCTCCCTGGGTCTCGTTCTTTTCCCCTTTGTTCCAATAGTTTGATTTTATCTGTGACTTTGGGCTTCAATCCATTCCAGAAAGAGGTAAAGCACGGAGTAATATGCGAATGCTTTTCGTCTAGGCGTTCCTCAAGTTTCTGTTGTGTTCTGAGCGTCTGTCCCAGGTTGTAACAAAACAAAAACAAAAACAAAATAACCTGTCCCAGCTTGGAACATTCAGCTACTGCTGGGCTGACAGGCACCCTGTTTTGCGCTTCCCAATTTTTAGAAGCGGTGGCGCCGAGCTCCAGGCGCGGGAGACGGCCGCGAGCTGGCGCTGCAAGCCCGCAACCGCGCTCCAGGCGGGCAGCCAGGCTCGGGAGGGAGGCCCGAGACGCGCGCCCGGCACCTCCGCCCCCCGCCCGGCACCTCCGGACCCCGCCCGGCACCTCCGGACCCCGTCCGCCCGCCTCCCAGAGCCCCAGCCTGCGCGTCCCGCGGCGAGAGGCGCGTGCGCCCTCGCTTATTGGCCAGCGAAGCCGGCACCGGAGCCAATGGGAGCGCTCTTTGTTGTCAGGCGCGCCACCGGCCGGCTTGGGGGGTCTGGGTGGGCAGGCCGTTGCTGTGGAAACGCCTGCTGAGTTCCAGGGCCGGCGGATTTGCTGGAGGCTCCGAGTGAGGGCGCGGCTCTTCGGGGCCGGGGGCGGGGCTGGGGCGCCGGCTTGAGGGGCTTCACGTGCGGGGGCCGAGGCCGGAGCTTGCACCTCAGTATATTGCACACCGGAAACCAAGGCTGGAGAGAGCGCGCGCGGGAGAGCGAGGGCAAGCTCCCGGTTGCCTCGCGGGCTTCCTCAGGCCCTCGCTGCGCCTCCGGGGTTCCTGGGACGAGCTCCGGCGTCGGGAGTGGTTCACCGTGAAAACGGCTGCAGCCACATTGATGCAAAGCGCTGTTCACCCTGGATTCCCGTCC